GGTGTGTGTGCTGGACTGGATGAACTGAGACTGGAGAAATGTTGCAGAGAATCAGTGAAGGAGATATATTCCTAATTATCATGTAACCACCTGGAGTAATTTGATGACAATGAAAGCCTTTTGTGTACGTAAGGTATATTATGTTCACTTTAATCACATGTAACTGAACTAAAAAATAGGAAAATTCCAGTTACAATAGACATGTCACCATTCTCATCCAGGTTTTCAGTTTCAAACCACACTAATACAGTTCCAGAGCATTCCTAAGCCACATGTTATTCATCTGTTTTCAGTAAAGATGAAATGAGAGACTATCTCCAACACCCCTAGCTGTTCCTCTGACACGGGAATATGATATTGAAGTTGAGGTAATTCTGACAAAGAAATTAAGTCTGTCACACAGAATAAGACAGAAAGCAGCTCTCCCAGTTGATTAGTGTCATCAATTCAGTCTTGTTTGCATAAACTGATTATGACATTTTGATAAGGACTATTAACCAGGATTACATCTTCTTGATTAAGCTTCTGAAAATGACTACATAAAGGGATGTGTACACAGGCATGAAATTACAACAGAATGCTGCTCTGAGGGGTGTCATGTTACTGAATGTTGATTATTTATACAATGAGGAGCATGCTGATTTATAGTAAACCACTCCAGATATAAAATATAATCTGAGTGGTTCATTTCAAACCATTCATTCTGCACTGTACTTTAGATGCACAATGCATTATGGACAATTGGTTTGTTTTGTTTATTTGCAACAGAAACCTATTCACAGGATTAGTTTCATAACCCATTTTATTTTGTTCCAAGCTGTGGGGATAAAATAAGAAGACGTTTCAGTAACTCTTTCTGCAGCTTGCATGATTACGCCAATTTGTGGTGTGACGTTACTGTCTTATTGAATCATTCACTCAACCATTTCATTCAAAACACTGATTCATTCAGGAACAAAACAGCTAAATGTCTTTGTGAATGAGTCATTGAATCATATACTCAACCAATTTGTTCCAAACAATGATTCATTTAGTAACAAACCGCTGAATGTCTTTCTGAATTAATCACTGAATCATTCTCTCAACTGCTTTGTTGAACACTGATTTATTCAGTAAGGCCATTATTGTGGGTTTTTCTCAGAGACTCGTAACGTTGTTGGATATATTTTTTATTGGCGGAGCAATAATAGGCAAAGTAACTGCCAATATATTGTATTTAAAATGTAAGTTATTCTAAATTAACTTCTTGTTTATTGAACTGTTGCATAAAAGCATTATCCTGTGCTGTTGGCCTGAATCTGGATGGGGGGCTCACACGAAATGTCTTATTAAAATGACTGGATTTTTTTTACATGTAAACATGCATGTGTGCTTGTGTCTTGCGTGTTTTAAGAGAAGTTCAACATTTACAAAGTACGTCTCAAGACCTTGCTTTTTTTTTTATTCATCTACCCTGTATCTCGCGTTTTTCAATGCAAAAACATGTTCTGTGTAAATAACCTCTTCGCCATGCTGTTATGAACAACATCACTCTTACTCGTGTGATATTCCATGAATATCCAATTTCTATACTTACTGTTTTTGAGGCTGGTCCAAACAGACAAAGTAGCCTGATTTATAATAAATTAATGACTCTAACACAATGAAACATTTACAAGTGAGAACACTGGTATGACCTCTTTATGATGTACTGTGTATCAAAAACCCATACAACTGTCAATACATCAATGTGTGGATAGTGGATTCATATATCTGAGCATCTACAGAGCATGCAGATGGCACTGACCATATTGAAGCCAGTGATTCCCGGTTGCTAGGTGATTTCACAATAGCAGGCAACACCCACACATCAATCTTATAGGCACAATTGAGACATACATTCAGAGGGAGAGTTATAATATTCATGTACAGCCACATATAATAACACATATTGCAGTCAAATGAAGAAAATGATAGACAATAGTACGAATCTGATTTCCTAGGACATCCAAAGTGGAATGGAAAGGAAGATGGACACAGGAAAGAAAAAAACGAGAGAAGGGGGCTGTGGAATTTCATTCATACCATTTCATTTGTTTGGCTCCCATGATGCTATTTGCCCTTTTAACCTCCCATTCTGATCCAGCCCAACCCGTAGGGTTCGAGGAAGCAGCAGTGTGTCATCAACATAGCAGACGGCACAGCGCCGGTCCAAAGGGTGTGCACATCAGAGACCCGCTCTCAAACCCCAGTGTCCACGTAGCTGCCAGTCTCGGCTGATGGAGATGATGATGATGGAGAACAGATCCCAGCCCATGCGAATGTCTCGGTCCGTGTGAACCCAACCTGCTTGTTTGGCAGGTCTTCCTTTGGACAGTGCTGTAAACCCAGATTAAATGGGTATTCCCACAGACTCAATGTTGAAAATCCCGATCAGAGGCAGCATGTGTTTCTATGATAAGAAGCGTGAGGTAATCCTATTTTCAGTTCTGAGCCACAAAAGGGGAGAAAAGAGCTTTTGAATGGTCTCCCGTCCCCCTTCTTGAATCTCTACAACATCTTCTGTGACTCCTGTTTCTCATTCTCCCTGTTTTTGTGCCTCTCTCGAGGCAGACTTAAGGTATTTTTTCTCTGTCCTTCTGTTTCTCTTCGCTCCTCGTCTTCCCCCTCCCTTGTTCCTTTTTTTTCAGGAGTCAGACATGGTTCAGCCCGGCTCTGTTTACCGTCCCCTCCTCCATCTTCACCCCTCCCTTTCGCACAGAGCGGTGGGCTCCGGGATGGAGGGGGGTGGGTGGGTGTGGGCAGGATGAAAAAATGGGCGTCTCCAGTAAACCATGCTGACTGGATGTGTCCTCTGTGTGAAGATGACACACTTTAAATAACCAGTTCCATAAAACCAAAAACATTATGGTTATGATTAGTGCTTGATTCACCGTGTGAATTGCATCTTATACTGTTGTATTATGGCAAAATGAGGGAGTAAATGTGTGTGTGTGTGTGTGTGTATGTGAAAGTCAGAAAGAAAGAGGATGTTGAGTATGACCACGTCAGCTTAAAATCTGAGAAAAAAATACTGTTCCACCGCACTGTCTCCAGTGATGATTACTGAAATCATGATGTCAGACTGTTGTTTATTATAATAAAACTATTTTGTTTTTCTGACATTTTGAGAGGGAAATTACTTAGATCCCCATAATTTTGCAAAAACATTTTTAGGTGGATTTTTTTTTAGGAATTTTTATTTTATTATTATTTTTTTACTTATTTATTTATTTATTTTGTGTGTGTGTGTGTGTGTGTGTTACATGTTTATTCCATGGGGAGAATGTGTTAAGAATTGTTAATGATATTTGTTACAGTAAAAAAAAAAACCTGGTGTTTACTTTGAAACAATTTTCACTTGGAAATTGCTTGTAAATTTCATAAATAATTACAAAGAAAAGGCAAGTAACACATTGAATTAAATTTATAGACAGTAGAAAAACTGAAGTAGTAATCTTTATTTACAACTTTAAAAAAAAAAGTTTGGTCCCCCAGTTTATATTAGGTGGCCTTAACTACTATGTAATCATTTGATACAATACACGTATTATATAAAAAAAAGCTCAAGAAAGAAATAGCGCAGTTACAGAGATATACATGGACATGGTTATGCATGAAAACCCTTTATCCCTAAATGGCTACATTCCCAGTTTATGCTGAGCAGGATGATCATATTGGCAGTGGATTTGGAGTGGAATTAGAAAAAAACTATTACTGCAAGAGATTACAGAGAGTCAAGGCCAGTGGTGGGAAAGCTCCTATGTATGTAAATGTAGCTTGGTAAAGTTACAAGCTACTTATAATTCGGAAAAGCTAAGCCACAGTCAGACTGCAGTTTTGTTCATTGTCTAACCACTTACATTTTTCCATTTTACCTGCACCAAGATATACCCATTTATTTGTCAACAGAAGTCATCGGATGATGATATTGTGAAAACTACAGATCATACTTCCGCATTTTTGTTTACCCACTCATGGATAATCTGCTCAAGTCCAGTGCATTATGGGTGTTGAAGTTTTCCTACCATTTTTGGCACCGCCCTTTTCCCGTTTTCTCTGGTTATGTAGTAGATTTTAAAAATCGTGTTTCTACTGCATAGAAAGTCAACTTTTATTAAAACCTTTTATTAAAACTTTTATTAATCTAATTCAGTTTTTGTTATCATTTTTAATTTAAATTAATTAAATAAGTCTAGGTCATCTTGTTGCACTCTTGCATGTTTGCTGAGGCCTTATGCCATATATGCCCTATTATATTTAGTATATTCAATAACACTATGATATGAGTATTTAACTATTTATTTCACAAAGATACCTTTTTTTCTCTTTTTTATGACTGGGTGAATTTGGTTTTGAATGCGTGAACCAATTATCTAGAATTAATCAGACATACACTCAGTGTTCCTTAATGCAACTATGTCAATGGTGTGTTTTTAATCACAAATTGTTGAATAAAACAGCCACAGGCCTGGCATCTGCAATTGTTTCCAGCCCTGTTCCACGACACCTGTGTCCCTCAGATGGGACGGCGGTGATGCTCTTGGCCTAGAGGGCTCATTTATCACGTCTGAATTACAGCGGATCACCAGTCTTGCTGATTCCTGCAGTCCCGTCCATTTTAGGGCATAATATTATCTTTCTGCCTGAGTTCTCCTCTGATAGCAGCCAGGAGGGAGCAGATAGTATCTGGCCATGTCCCGTTCAGGGCACGGGGGGCAGAATCCCTCCTGGCACAAGAGTTTGCCGGGGATGTGGCCAGTTGACATGGAGGCTTTGCTCAGAACCATTCTAACTTAGCCAGGCAAATATTTTTCCAGGCTTGTGAGCAGAGGGGCATTAACACTATTCAGAGCCCAGCGTTTGAGACTGTATGATCTAAGAGAGAGTGAAGGGTGATTAAATAGCCTTTTGTTTGAATGAGCCAGAGGGGAAGAGGGCAGCAAAAAACACTTTAGCTCATAACTGGAGACGGATCAGCGGGTAGCTGGGTAGGTAGCTGACATAAGGTTTATGGATGGGCCATAAATACAGGCCCACAGCAGAACATGCAGCAGATCCGCTGTCAACTCCAGCCGCTTCGCTGAGATACAATGGAAATTTCTATCCAACATCCCTGGTACCGCCGGCCCTGGTTCCCAGGCTACTTCCCTTATCGAATTTATGACCAGTATTTCGGAGAGCACCTACCCGACAGTGACCTTTTTTCACCTTTCTACATGTTTTACTATCGACCTTATTTCTGGTGTTTTCCAAACTGGTGGGACAGTGGCATGTCAGAGGTGAGTTCAGTTTCCTATGTTGATACAATCTAGGCATTAGCGAAAACACTTTACTATGACATGCATTTTGTTAACGTTAGGTAGAGCATGCAAAAAACAATTATAACTATTTTAACAGCACTTTTTAATTATTTTAATTCATCATTGTTAATTCATAGGTAGTTAATAATATTATTCAACTATTTAAAAAAAAATGTATCAGTATACATTACCATTAAAAAATTGGTAAGTACGATTTTTTTTAAAGAAATTAATATTTTTATCCAGCAAGGATGCATTAAATCAGTGGTCGCCAACCCGTCGATCGCGATCGACTGGTAGATCTTTATCACTGTCCCAGTAGATCCCGAAAAAAACAGTAACATAAGTACAAAAATGCATTACATTTATGGGGTTATATTAATGTATCACTGAAGGGAACTGTCTTGAGAAAAGTTTCGATGGCAATGGCATTTTCTTCTCCATATAAAGCGCAACTCTGCTTTGTTTACAACGGTAAACAAGGAAACGCTATATTGCGGGCGGTTCATAAGCAGTGTTGCCAAGTCCGCGGTTTTCCCGCGGAATTGGGCTACTTTAACACTGTTGCCGCTTGGTTGTTGTTCATGTCCGCGGGTTGAAGCGACCCCAATAACGTGATATTTAGTCCCTGTAATGTGAATTTTACTCGAAGATCCCCGCCGAAAAACGTGTATTTTACCCCCGGAATGCGATTTTTACAGGGGAACCCCCCTCGAAACACGATTGGACTAGTTTTATTGCGAAAACCTGGCAACCCTGTTCATATAGTACCACCTGCTGTCAGAGAGTGCGTCTCATTCAGACCTGCTGTTTTTGTTTCGTGCAGATGTTTTATGTAGCAAATAAATAACACCTAAAGTCAGACCATTCTGTTTTTGTTTTAAATCCTGAAATTAATCTAAATCAAATCAAAAACAACTGCCCGTGCAGATCGTGATTAAAATGCAGTGGTTGCCTCTAATTTCAAATGGCTAGATATTTTTGTTTAAAGCCAGTTTGTTTGTTATAAAGCAAATAGCCAATAAATAAATTTGCTTAAAAATCAGTATCAGAATCCAATTTGCTAGTTAAAAAAAAAGAAAGAAAAGAAAATCTGAATTCTGAATCAGCTATGATCGGAGCATCACTAATTAAAATACTAAGTAAAAGGCCTCAAAACTGAAGTACAATCTGGGATGTCTTTTTCTATCAATTCTTCAATAGGTAGATCTTGTCTTTCATAAAGGCCGAGGTCAGGGATCTTGGGCCTAAAAAGGTTGGTGACCACTGCTCTAAA